TGTACGGAAGCAGGATCACCAGGTCCAGCAGGCAGTCCTGCTGGGAGATGAAGTAAGCAAAGGAAGGGAAGAAACTCTCCCAGAAAGTTTTGTGCATATGTGTGTAAAGGTCAGCACGAGGTGTGTCAGGGATTAATCTGGCTATGGAAGACTTTGCAGGAAAATTCATGCAAGTCTTGTTCCCGGTTTCACTCCTCACTGGAAGGACAGTGTTTCTGTTGTGCACTAGTTTTACATACTTTTTTTTTAATCACTGTCTTCTTGGTGACAATTTATCACCCTGTGCATGTTTCCAAACATCTTTAAAATGCCAGTCACTGCAAAACAGCAGAAACCTCCTTTCAGAGGTTTCACACCTCCATTAAAGTGCAAAAATTAAACGAGAGTGACTAACTTCGGATGTGATTTGGTTTTAATCAATGTAAGTCAGTGTGAAAGCAGTTATATGATTAGAAGTAGCAGTTCTAGTAATATAAAGCATCTTTACATGTGTCCACAATAGGAGGGCTGTATGAATTAAATTATAAGAGATACATATTTTTAAATTTCATTAAAATAATTGTGATTGTTTGTACCTGTAAGTATGCTTCTATCTGCTGAAGGCAGCAAACAGCTTATACTTTGGGTTTTTTTCATACAACTAGACTCTAAAATGCAAAAAATCCAGATTTACCCCATGACTCCGATAATCAGAAGTTACGAAAGCGTGACAGCATTATGGCATATGAATGCCAGTGTCTCTGTTTTCCAAAACAAGTGATATCAAACTCGCAAACAACTGAACACACTTGAGCAGATCATTCCACTGACATGACTGACCCTATATTTTAACTGAAAAACACAGTGACAGTTTCAACTTGGCAGCTTAGCTGGAATCTCCTATCCATTACCTAGAGGTGTTTGATTCTTTTAACAGTTTTGATAGCAAACCCCTAGAATTTTAATATTGTGTGAAACTCATCCATGAATGATTTTTACATTTATTAGTGATCTTGATTAAATGAAAACACATTTTACACTTATTGAAATAATATTTGATGGAGCTCTTATCCAAATGTGCACTGAAATGGCACTAGAAATTTGTCATCTATCCAAAAAGCTGGATTTTAGCAGACAAAGAATTCAGAACACTTATGCAATCTTTTATAATCAGTCTTTAAACTCAAACTTTAAAATCTGTCTATATACAAACAAATAAAGTGGAAATGGGTAATTTGAGGAGAAAAATGTTTCTTTTTTCTTTATTTTTTTATTATTTTTAATGAGACACCTCTTTTTAATAAGATAAATTATCTTTCAAAAAACCCCCTGCTATTCATATTCTTCTGTTTGGAGAGATAATTTTAAAGTGCTTGGCCTTGTTAGCTATGGACATCATCAAAGATTACAATTTTAGAAGTAAATCAATTAACTCCAATCAGTTACTATCTTCCTGTGACTCAAGCTTATTATCATTGCTACTGGCAGTGTACAATCTGTGAATTTACCTTTTTCAGAGAGGATCCAATACCCAAGTATTTCTAAGCACTCAGAATTCCATTTTAAAGTTGGAGATTCCAATTTTAAAGACTAAAAAAAGAACAGGCTGAGAGGATTTAGCAATTTAGGAAATGAAGAAACTGGGTATTTTGGATGAGATTGAAATTACATCTGATCTTTTATCCTTGTTTGATGATGGCCAATGCTCAGAGAACAGTGCATGAGGCATCACTGTGAGTAGCTATTAGGTAACTGGAGGTCTTAGGCTGTAACTAAGTGTAGCTAGAGATTGGTCCACACCCAGAAGCATGAGGCTTTACCTCTCTTTGGAAGTTTTTGTTAGCATTAGCTATAATAGCTCTGGATAATCATATTACTTGTTTAGTTTCCAATTCTTCTTTGAACCTGGCTAAATTCTTGGCCCAGTAACACCCTGGTACAATTGGCTCCTCATAGGCTTAATCAAGGTTACCCCAGGATGTCAGTAGGGCTACAGGCAAGGTGTCCAGTGAGGTGTTCAGACGTGGGATGAGTATGCAGGATGCTCTGTTGCATTTAGAGGGAGGATTTGTGGAGATAAAGTGAAGCATGGACTGAAGTGTCTCACTGAGTGAAAGCTGTACCCACATCTCCTAAATCCATGGTGAACTGGCTTTTATAGACACCATTTGCTGAATGCTCCTGAGGCAGAATAAGGTCCTCAGCCCTGCCTCGCTCTACCTTTTTGGAGGACTGTTCCCACGTCCTGAACTAGGTGCCTGTACTGGTTTGGCTTCATTGGCACCTGAAGGCAGCGTGGCAGGGAGGTGTGGATGTACTGCTCATTTGCAGCTCTGCTGCAGGAATAGTAAGCCCTGCCATGTGGGAAAGCAGATAATTTTGGCTGGTCATGTCTTAAGTGATCACTGCAAGACTTGTTTGACGATGCCAGCTGATCCCTTCGGGCACACAACCAGGCTACTTTCATTCTATGATTTGCTGCAGGCAGAGGTGTCCAGGGAAGTGCACTTTGCTTGGAGCTGATGCAATGCAATGTCTTAGCTGAGATCACAGTTAAGGGCAGCTAATATAAACCATGTTAGCTTGCATTTACCACCCACAGGTAGGTAGTTAGCAAACCTCAGCTGACATGGAGTAACTTGTTGAGCTGGGATAACCAGATAGTGTCTCTGAGCCATTATTCTGCTGCTTCAGGTCCTTCAACAATGTCCAGGCAATAAGAACATGTAACCATACCATCAGTTTAGTTGATATTTTAGTGTTTGTATTTTGGTTGTCTGCACTTTCTTTGGTAAAGACATTTTAAAATTTATTAAATCAGTATAAACAATCACTGAAATTCCACATTACATTAAGTATATTTTTACTGTTTTGTTTTTGTATTCCCTGCCTATCTTATAGCGGCCTTCCAATACCTGAAGGGGGCCTACAAGAAAGCTGGGGAGGGACTTTTCATAAGGGCAACTAATGACAAAACAAGGGGAAATGGGTTTAAACTGAAAGAGGGGAGGTTTAGATTAGATATTAGGAAGAAGTTTTTCACTGTGAGGGTGGTGAGACACTGGCACAGGTTGCCCAAGGAAGTTGTGGCTGCCCCCTCCCTGGAAGTGTTGAAGGCCAGGCTGGATGAGGCTTTGAGTAACCTGGTGTAGTGGAAGGTGTCCCTGCTGATGGCAGGGGGATTGAAACTAGATGATCTTTAAGGTCTCTTCCAATCCAATCCATTCTATGATTCTATGATTCTATCTACTATGCTATTTGCCACAATAATGTCAACTGATGCTCTGCTATCTCTATGTTAATATCTACATTAATATTAATAGATTATGTCAACACTCTTTTAATTGGCAAGAACTGATACAAATTCTACACATCTCTGTTGTAAGTAGTAATGCTTAAGAAAATTCCATCAAATTAAGGCATTACAGACTGCATTGGCCTCAGCACAAAAGTGAAATTCATTTTACAGTGATAATTTTCAGGAATTTCTCACTGTTTCTCTGCCATTAGTAGACATCTTTCTCTGAGACAAGTGATAAAACTGAAGATGCAATTACATTGACAGGAATCAAGGATGGCATACCTACATCCTGGATTTTATCACTCCTCTTTAAGTGGCATATGCTACAGAAAAGGATGTCAGTGCTGACTGAGCACCCTAGCTGTTACCAATATACCTTTTAAAAATGACAATGTTGTCTGAGATATTGAAACCACAAGGTAATAGTTTTTGTCCAAAGAAACACATTCAAGTAAACAGAAATATACGTACTTAAAGGATTGCCATCTAATTATCTAAGGGTTTTACACCACAGCTATCACTATACCTGGTAGCTTTGAATGTCTCAAAGGGACTGGTCTATGCCATCATATTGATCTTACTGAATATGACATAAATTACATCATAATCCAGAGAAATGGTAAATATACATGTATGTGTGTATGCATATATATGTGTGTATATACATATATATATACACACACACACACAAAAATTAGATTACTTTATGCTCTGCTTTAAAAAAAGACAAAACATTGAAACTCTACATAGTTTTTTGCCAGACTTCCATATCACAATTAATCCTAGGGTATGCATTAAATACTAAGTTGTTAGCTACAGAGAAGACTGCTCATCTTTTATTAATATATTGTCTTCCTCATTTCAGTCATAGCATATTCACTGACTTCATTATGGGAATCGTTAGTCATGGCAAGAATAACCTCTTACAGAGAAACAGATTGTTTTAACAAAATGGTGCATTTCCCCCAATTTTATTTTTAGATTTGAAAGATTTAATTAGTTTGGATTTTCCTTTCTTCCTTTCCAACTGTTCTTGTGATTAAGACATTCAGTTAAAAATTGGTTGACTCATCAAACTTTCCCATAGTGGAATGTTTATTGACTTGTCAAACATAGCAAGAACTCTCCTTTGATTAAATTATGATCTTCTTAACTTATAATTAACTTAGCAGAAAATACACTTTATCAGGAAAGATCCCTCAAGGAATATCTAAGCAATTGTTTATGCAACCAGTGGAATTACTGGTTAGCTTTTATGGTCAGGTGCCATGTTATTGTTCTGAAATTAGTTATAACTCCTACACTCAATTATTCTCACTCATTAAAAGTTCAGTCTAAACACTGGCTGAAAGCACTCTATCAATAACATAATAATATGGATTTAACGGGCATGCCCAAGTGTTACCACTCGGGAATTATGTTCCAGCTGTCCTACAAAACAAGGTCTGGATGGCAGGAATAGTGCCTGGTTTATTTCAGGAACTATATCTCTTGGAAAGAAGCTGAAATCTTTACCTTTAGCACAAGTACAGCCCTGTTAAAAAAGTCTTAAACCGGTATGAGTTACTGGTTGAAGGTACAATTTTGCTCCCTAGAGAAATGGATCTGGTTCTAGGATTAGAGATCCCGCAAGACCAGACCTCAAGGCAAGATAGAGTTGGGGACAGAGAAATAGTAAGAACATATTTTTTGGAAAGAGATTCCAAATGTTATCAGCCTATAAGTGCACGAATCCCTGTATTCAAAAAGAGAGAGCTTGTAGCTCTCCCACAATTACAAATTTTAGCCTGATAAAGGGCACCAGTTTGGCTACTTGTTGCACATTCCAATACACCTTCCATATCCAACATCCCTGTACCAATGCCTCAGGGCATCTCAGATGTTTTTAGTTCCCTGTGTGAGCACAGTCAGTGCTCAGATACAAACATGGTTCTATTTCATCAGACTCAAAAAATAATAATAATTTGATGTAATTGTCTTTCTCAAAGCCGAATTATTTTATTTTTTGTTTTCATATAGATCCACACAGCCTGATAAAATCCACATTAAGGTCTATCCCTTGGAGCTGCAGCAAAATCCTTAGGTGGGCTGCATTGCTTTTTACACCAAGTGCATTTGAACAGTCACCTGGGGGTATATGAACACGGTGCAACTTAAAAAGTAATAAGTGGAAGGACCAGAATGTCTGCCATGGGTAAATCTAATAACAGAGGGTCAGTAATACTCTGGGAAAAGTAAAATGGCTTGTCCCTAGGGCTAGACGGCAGTGAAAGCACCATACAGCACAGAATTAGTCTGAAATATGCTGGTTCCAAACGAACATTGTCATGTCTCAGACCCAATAAGTGAAGTGTAAGAGCACTTGCTGAGGTTGTAGATTGAACCACCACACTCATTGCAGGGTTACTACTATGGAGCTACCAAGAAAAGGCTGGATCAGACTGACAGTGCAGCAGTTTTAACCCTCTTCAGATACTGTGAATTACTTGGATGATGAGGATTGAACAGTTACATCTCCAAATTAAGCTAGAAAGATTTTGATAGTCAGTAATCTCTATTACACCCTTCTACAAGGGTCCATATGCAACCCTCAAAGCAGGAGTTTAGAGACTAGTCTACCCTGTCTTCCACAGAGAAAATCTTCTTTAAGAACAGGGCTGACTCACATCAGTGAAACTGTTGTCTGATTCAAAAAGATTTAAGTCTAATTCCTGGAGAGTATCAGTCTCTAATGGTGCTCACCTAGCAGCACCAACTTCATGGGTAGGGATATTTATAAGCTCCTAACTTAATATGCATTGGCTTAAATAATTTCCATTAAGGACTGAGTCCCCAAACTGCAAATTTAAACCATGGAACAAAACAACAAAATACACTCCCTTTACCTGATAAAAGTTCATCAGGAGTAGAGCTTGTAAGTTATACTCATTATAATTTAAAATAGTACAGAATCACTGAGGTGGGAAAGTAATTCTGGAAACCATTGAGTCCAACACCCCCTGCTCAAAGCAGAGTCACTGACACCAAGATGCTCATGGTCATGTACAGTTGGGTTTTGAATATCTTCAGGAATGGAGGCTTAATCTCTCTGGGTAACTTGTTCCAGTGTTTGACCACACACACAATAAAAAGCTTTTTTCTTATGTTTAAATAGAAATGTCCATCTTTGTGTTCTTTGCAAGGTCCCGCACCTGGGTTGGGGCAGCCCCTGGTATCAATACAGGCTGGGGGATGAAGGCATTGAGACCAGCCCTGAGGAGAAGGACTTGGGAGTACTAGTGGATGAAAAATATTCAATATTTAGATGTAAGAGCACAACATGCAAGTGAAACACAACATGAGTAATGACCCAATTTAGAGAATTTCTAAATAAGTAGCAACCTCTCCCCTGTTACTGATTGCAGAGAGGCAGAAACACACTGAACTGCATACCTATTACCTTTCTGGGGCACATCACATTGCCATTCACAGGAGCAACTCAAACATTATTATTGCTGCCTTCAAGAGAAAGGTCAAGAAAGAAAGGAATTGCTTTATACCTGCAGAGATGAGGGTTGGGGTTTCTTTTAGGAAAAAAAGGCACTTTTTGTTCCCATTTTTCTTCATAAGAAAGTATGTTTCTGGACATTTTTACACAGAAATATGTTAGTGCCTATTTTTAATATATATATATATATATAAAGAAATCATTTCTTGAGGCATATTATAAATGTATTTCCACAGAATTTCACACACATGAGGAGCTAAGCCCGAGATCTGATTATATGTCCATACTGTCCCCTTTTACAGCAGCTTTTATTAACAACATAGCAAAGCCCTGAACCCTCA